TATATATATATATATATATATATATTTCCGCTAAGTTTTCCATTATGATGTCATAAAAAAAAACAGGAGTAACAGTCTTAGACCACTATCTATAACACATAATACAATCATTTTAGCACATAGCCCTATATTAAATTTCATGTATGCACATGGTCCCAGGCCACAAATATTTAGGAAATATTTTGCAACATAATATGCTTTATTTTGTTTTACATAAAGTAATTATATTGATAAATGAACACAACAATGTGGCAAATTTAATAGGTACTATATATGCAAAAGAAAATAATGCATGGTTAAGAAAAAATATGAAAAGAAATATAATGCATAGAAATACAGAAAATCTACTCAGACAGCAGGAATTGTATCATAAATTCATAGATTGTAAGGGGCTGGAAGGGGCCTCGTCCAGCCCCCTGCACCAAGCAGGAAAGACAACTGGGGGTCAGGTGACCCCAACAAGGCGACCGTTCAGGCTCCTCTTGAAGATTTCCAGGGTAGGTGATTGCACCATCTCTGGAGGGAGCTTATTCCACAGTCTGGACACCCTAATTGTAAAGTAGTTTTTCCTAATGTTAAGGCTGAAACGGTCTTCCAGGATTTTGTGGCCATTACTCCTGGTTTTCCCCCGGGTGCCCTGGTGAACAGTTGCTCGCCAAGCCCTTGACGTACTCCCATAGTGTAGCGGTAACCTGCTACCTGGTCCCCTCTCAGCCTTCTTTTCTTCAGGCTGAAGAGTCCCAGATCACTCAGCCTTTCCTCATATGGCTTGCCTTTTAAGACTCTGATCATACAAGTGGCTCTTTTTGGACTCTCTCGAGCTTTACCGCATTCTTGTTAAAGAGCGGCACCCAGAACTGGATGCAGTACTCCAGCTGCGGTCTCACCAATGCTGGGTATACAGTGGGAGAATCATTTCTTTGGTTTTGCTGGAAATGCATCGATTGATGCATGCCAGGGTATAGTTAGCCCTGCTGGCTACTGTGTCGCACTGCTGGCTGATGTTCACAATGTGGTTTATTATTACTCCCAGGTCCCTTTGATTTGTAGTGCTGGTTAGGTTGGTGTTGCCAAGCCTGTAGGTATGCAAGGACTTGTTCGTCCCCAGGTAGAGGACGGACAACCTGAATTGAAGGAGACTAATCCTAGATAAACAGAAGGAACAGGAAGGTAATTAAACAGAGATAATATAGCAGCGGGGTTCAAATCCTTTTTAAATTTTTTTTTTCCAGCAAGGAAATAAAAATTGAATTTAATCAGAATTTATGCTTTTCAGTGCCTGATTTATCTCTTTGGGAGGGTGATATTATTTTTGCTTGCTTGTTTTTACATCCTGTCTCCTAAAGCAGGGTATCATAATATAAGCTTAGTGAACAGACAATTAATGTTGCATTTTTCAGGTGCTCCGGATTGTGAGGCCACACTAACCTTCAGATATAACAGAGGCAAGAGGATTTTGACTAGTGCTGTTCAAATTCCAAATTTTGATGTTGATTTTGGTACCAACTTCAGAGTCAATGATGAATCCACTCCAGAGAGGAAAGCATATACTTTTATCTTAGACCTCAACAACAAAAAGATTCCTGAAGTTACTCTTACTGGTCGCGTAAGGTAATCCTGAAACACTCTTTCGCTTCTCCAGACTTTTGAATTAGGAAGTGCAAGATTTCATTAATAGGGGAGATTTAGGATTATGCTCTCTACTCATAGATGGACAAAAATTGCACATAACCTGTGCACACCATATAACCAATCTTCGTTCAAATAGTTTTAAATACATACCTCCTATAAAGCTTTTCATCTGTAACCTACCACAGACAGATAAAAAGGGAAAGCAGGTATACTCCAGGTTTGTGACTAACCCTTTACACTGGATGTGGCCTGTAAAATTTAGATTAAAAGTTTATTGAGGTATTTCTTGGATCATCTGCCTTTGGACAATATCTAGGATGCCATGGGCACACAATGCTGAAATAAAGTATAAGAAAAAAATAACTCAGCCCTGCCTCTTTAGGTTTCCACACTTCATGCTAAGAATATTCCCCTTGGTATCTGTAGGAGAACTGTAAAAAATGTGCAAAAATTGTCAACCTCATGGACCCAGGGTGAATCGACAAAATTACCATTTTAATAACCTTCATTATTCCATGAAATTCTTTATCCCCAGGGACCATCCATTGTAGAATCTGGAATAGTTGTAGTTCTACTCTAGCCAAGGTACAAAAGTGTAAAACAAGTGGTAAATCAGGTCCAGTAGTACAGTATGGCCCACCCAGGGCAAAGCATTTAGTTTCCCCTCATGTTTTAGTCAAAATGACTTCTGACATCAAGAGGTATTTAGTCTGAGTAAAGATTTCAGGATCATATATGTTACTGAACAAGTATGAGAGAAGCAAGGGAGTTTTTTGGTGACATCTTTTATTGGATCAATTGTATATTTGGAAGGGATGTTGGGCACTATGGGCATTTTTAGATATGCTCCAGGAGGCGGTGGCGAGGTGGCACTTTAATTAGTGACCCACGCTAATTAAAAGTGCCCCTAGCATCACATGTATCAGTGTCCCTGCCCTGATAAAATGGTGGTGTGGTGCTTTGAACCAAAGCTCATTGAATGAGTTTTAGTTCAAAGTGCCCCACTGCCATTTTTCAGCACAGGGACACTGATATACTTGATGCTGGTGGCTTCTGAGAGCATTAATTTCTGTGCTCCAGCAGACTCAATTGAGTCTGCTCTGACACACTGGATTTACAGCACATTAGAGCAGCCTCACTGCATGTGTGTAAGTGCCCAAAAATGCCCAGACCTAAGGAGTTAAGAAACCTAGGCTGAGCCCTGAGATTCAAACAAATCTTTTTTTTCTACCTGTTCTTTTATCCAATTCCAAATGCTAATCTTGTTGCTCAAAACTGACATCATAAAATCACTGATAAACACATTGTCTACTATTTTATTTTCTCAGGTATGATGGGAAGGAAGACGCAATGCTAGGAGGTGACATTTCCATTCCTCGCCTGCAAACTCAACTTAGAACGGAGACGTCGCTTCATTTTTCAGCTAACAGAGCATCTCTTCAGATCAGCTCATCTGCAACAGCCCATGGGAACTCCATTTCAGAAAGCATTGTTTTCAAATACAGTATGAACATTTAATATAATATAAAAACTCTGTCCACATGTAAAACCATTAGTATTATTTTAGTTCTACAGTACATCTCTGTGCATGTTGAGCCTTTTTAATTTTTACCTTGCTTACCTCTTGAACTCTTCCGATTTTCAGATTCTGAGAAAGTTGAACTGGAGTGGCATATCGACACGAATACTGCAGTGAAACAGATGTCTTCCAGCTTCCCTGTTGACTTTGCAGATTATCCAAAGACTTTACGGAAGCATGCCAATGAGCTGCTGGACCAGAAAGTGGCTCATACAGACATGACGCTACGACACATTGTCTCACAATTCATTATGGTAAGAATGAACACATATTGCAGAAATATTAGAGCCTAAGTCCCTGGTGAAAATATGCTCACGTGAGCAATGTCACAGACTTTAGTGTGAGCAGGTAACAGCTTCATTAGCAGTTCTGTCTATTCCAGGCCAGCAAAGCTCTTTAGCACCAACTTTATCTGAAGGAAATGGGTAGTCCCAGTGACTTAGTTGACCATGCATTTAGCCCTAGATAGCAGTGTTCTCCCTCCCCCACCACCAACTTGTCATTTCATTTTACTCTGGAAAACTCATCTGCTCTGGGTTTTGCAGGCAACAAATACCTGGCTGCAGAAGGCATCCAAAGATGTTCCTTATGCTCAGACTCTAAAGAATAAACTCAGTGGACTTCAGGAACTTAACTTTCAGAAAATGGGCCTCCCAGTTATCACCATTCCAGAGGAACTCTTCCTGAAAAGGTAAAGGTGCACATGAGATCGGTCACCTCGGGGAACCAAAACTAGATATTCATTAATGCTCATGAATGGTTTTACTACATTTTTATTTGACCTTGCTTTAGACAACAGTCTATTGTGATCATAAGGAAGGATTTTAAGAGCAGAGATGTTATGTTCAGCAAACTATACACATAATTATGTACGATGGGGTAGCACATTTGCCACAGACCCACTAAAAGCAATTTACCTGAGCCATGGAGGTGGCCCATAATATATGACCGTATCATAGTAAGAAATGCTGTGCAAGGGTAAGGCACTGGAAACAGAAATAAAAAAGGAGCCAGAATGACAATCTTCTATGCTATTTCACTGACAAAGTCTGTATGATATGTATCCCCTTCCCATGAATTCAATTCAGTCACACTCTCAGCTAAGATTTGGTTCTTAGGGTCATAATAGACTTACAGATTTGTAGAAATAAAAAGTCTTTTTGAATATTTGTTTTGAGTAGTTATGCCATTATATAGGACTTGCATTCATTACAACTCCCAGCCTGGTGTTCTAGCAGACTAATTTTCCTCTGTTCTGCTACTCTGATGGTGCTAATCATGAATCAAGAAGCAACAGCGCTTGGCTTCATGCCCCAGTGGAATACTGAGACATAGCTTTGCATCAGAAGTTCCCAATATTTTGGGGTATGATGCCACTCAGGGGCTTGTAGTGTAAGTGCTGGTTGCTTTGCCAGGCTCTTTGAATGTCTTTGCGGCTCATGACCACGCTCATTGGGGCTGTAACCTAATTTGGGGTTGCAGCTCTTACTTTAGGAACCCTTGGCTTATACTTAACCTCCATAGGAAAGAGCGTTAACTGAAATGAATACAAGTCAAAGGAGCAGAGATGCTCATACAAGTCTAGATTCCCAATAGCAAATATGTTTGAAATATATTTGGCCTCCATCTCTCTTAAACATATTTATTGTTTAACTCTTATACTTTCCTCATGTCACTATCAGTAAACTAAATAGCTGCGTTGCTTTAATTCTGTTAATGAGCTGAGCATGGTAATGGACGATTTTTTATAATCATGGTTATTTCTTCTACTCTGCATTAAATTTTTATTAATCATTTAATTTTAAGGGCCATATTTTGAGTGGTAGGTAATTTCTATTTGGCAGTGTACATTCTTTCTAGTAAAAATACGTTTGTACCATATTCACCACTATAATATTTGGCTACCATCTAAAACCATATTTATGGTTGCATTCTTACATGCAATTTTTAATGTCCTAAGAACGTCTGATATGCTCCCATTTTTGTTGGTTCAGTAAATATGTTTCACAGACATCCCTGTAGACCAACAAACCTTATCAGGATTTTCCACAAATCTGGAGAAGTCCTTTTTGTGGGAAACAGGAACAACTGAAATCATGTTACTGGAAGAATAATCCATTGCAAATTGTTTTGCCCTTTTTCTGTTGCCAGACTAGTTATGAATCAGCACTGGTTTCAACAAACATATTTTGTTATTTGTACCTGTTCACAGAATAGTTTATGCAGATAATTTCAACCTAAGGATTATTGGAAACTGTTCACTTTGATTCTGTAGTTGGCAATTAGAGTGAACTTGTTAGTATGCTGATAGGCCTCTATTCTTGTTTAAATGGGCTCTTATATGTAAAGCAGAAAAAAGTCTTGCCTCAAGGCACTCATCATCAAAAACACGAGTTAGACAAACAAATCTTGTTAGAAAACAGGATCTTGCCAGGAGTCAACTCTTGTAAATTATGGCACAGTTCCTTCTCATTTTCCTTTTGCATAACAACACTTCTACCCCCACTTTGCCTCTGGCTGCCAGTCAAATTTCTTCAGTCACCATGGGGAATTGTTCCTTAGGCCTGATTGGGTGACTGAAGCTTTTAAAGAAAAAGAAAAACAAGTTCTGAAAAATGAGTAATATATAGTATATAATGATTAACACACTTTCTAGTATGAAGTTTGGACAAATAAAGTCATTCCGTAGAACTTCACAAAACTTTTGAGATAAAAATTGTCAGAAATAACCAATAACTATTAAAGTTCCATCAAACAACATGTATTAATAATGAAACTCCTCATGCCACATTATGCAAACATGTCCCTTTTCCCACACAAGACTATGAATGAATAGCATTATTTCTTTTATTCAACATGATGCATTACATATGTATGGCAATGGTTTCACTGAGGAAGGGCTTCAAACAAGTGAAGGCATTTGGAGTTTCTCAATCTCCCCTTATATTAACGAGTAGGGCATTATGCTTGGAATTAGGACATTTGAGTCCAGAATCAGGATTCTGTCAGACTGTGATGCTGATTGTAAGACTTTCCTTGTACAGTACAAGTAGGATTTTGTGTGCCTAGTCACGTAAGTAGCCTCTGGCATTTATGTGCAGGTTGCAGTTCTGTTACCCTGCACTGTGGACTGTGTGCACACTTAAACTGAGCATGGGCAGGCAGCTACACAGTGGCCAGGCAGGTACCTAGCTACCTATGCACACCCATAATGGATGCATAAGAGCATCCAAGTCGTGAAAATGTCCCCTTCTAGAAATTCAGGACTAACGGGTGGCAGATTGGATAAGAACCTCACTACATGACTAGTAGTTGAACAGTTAGGATATTATCCCAGGGAGCAGAAGACCCAGGTTATAAATGCCCCTTCTCCAGAGGGATTTTGAACCTGCATCTTTCTGCTGTCCCAGTATAGTACTTTAAACACCATACCACAGGTCAGGCTGTACCGTTCCCCTTTTGAAGCTGGACCCCTGGGCAGCCGAGAGCAGGAAATGCATGGTCAGGAAAAGAAGAACAAGCAAGAGAGGATGTGGCTCAGTGAGATGATTGCTATCCTGCAACAGAGTGGGCCCTTAGTTCTACCCTGAATCATTGCTCCTAATGGCGTAAGAGCTTTCCCCGCTGCATTGATTTCCAGCTCTCTGATCCAGTGACTCTTAAAACTGAGGGGCAGGAGATCAACTTCAAAAGGAGTGTTAGAGAAAGGGCCAGCATAACAACTTGTGGTATGGTGATGAAAGGACTGTACTTGAAAGCTAAGGAGATATGGATTCTAAGCCCCTATGGATTGGGGGGGTGCTAAAACTGAACTGTCTACTTCTGGACAAGTGCTCTAACTAGTAGACTTTGGGGCATGGGCAACTGGTGCCTCCTGAGCTGGGGGGGCACTTGCCCCCACAGCGGTCAGCCAGTGACAGGGCAGTTCAAGGAGGGGTGGGGGGATCCCCCATCGCCAATCACACTGACCAGGTGGGGGGATTCCCCCATGGCCAATCGCACTGACCCAGAAGCAGCATAGCTTCTAAGCCGGCTCTAAGAGGGAATGCTGCCCAGAAGTGCCAGTGGTATGCCCAAAAGGGCCAGGGACGTGCCCGGACATGCCAGCAGCACTTCTCCTGGTGCCCCCGCTCCCCAGCTGGCACTCACGGGGGGGCACCAACATGCCCACCTGCCCCCCTTGCCAGCTGCCTAAGCAGGGAAAGCTACTGCGAGGGGGTGCACCAGTGCTGTCAGGAGGTGCACATGCACCCCAGTGAACCCACTACACATCACCATTGCTTTGGAGCCAAAGGAAGAAAGGATCCTCCTTTCTTGCACTCTGTTTTTTCCTCAAGTACCTATGGATATGGCTGACCAGTATATGGCCAACTGCACAAGCTCAGTCTTTATACAGATACCTACACATCGACAGTGCAGGAGTAATTGCCAGAAGCAGCCAAGTACATAGCTAGAAAACTGTCACTTAGGCACATAAAGGGAAATAAAGTCCTGCCTTATGTGTCCCATTTAATAAAATGCATATTACGATACCTTTCTCACCCTGTAAGAAACCCATTTTCACACTACCATGTCTCTTCATTATTGTTTGTGGAACAGATTTACATAGCAAGTGCAAAGTATAAATTAGAGTAGAAAACCAAGAGAAAAATGTATTAAGGTCTTGCTTTTTTAACACCTTTGCAAAAAAATAAGAGGCAGTCAGCATGATCTGATCCAGTGTTTCTCTAAGTGGACTATATTTATCCCTTTGGAAATGTAATGTATGTTTAGAAGATACGTAAGTGAACAGAAGAACGAAAAAGGGAAAGGGAAATGTAGATGGGGGAAAAGAGAGAAAAAGGAAATTGGAGAATAACTCTACAATTTCTCTTAGTTTGTCAGAAAGGTTGAACTGTGCTTTTGTAGCAACATAAAGCATTACTTTTTTCATTATTCATAACAGAATCATAAGGGTAAACAGATGTAAACAAACATAAAAGGGAAATAAACCCCCAAATGTTTGAGAACTATTAATCTGATAGTTGAATTTAGGGCAAAAGGTCAGGAACATCAGAGGTCTAACCTAAATTCTGTTTGTGACTTGCTTCTTGGTGCTGGACCACTTAATCTCTCCATCTCAATCCCCCTGGGCATGTCTACACATGTGCTTTAATGCTCAGCAGCCTATTTTACTACGCATCAAAAGGCCACGTCAAAAACTATGCTAATACACGAATGCACAGTAAAAATAGGTTACTGCACATTAAGCATCACTAAAAAAGCATGCACTTTTGCTACTGCACATTAGGGCAGCCTAATGTGCATTTATTTAGTACCTCACAGTAGTGGTACTAAATTTATGGCAGTAGCAAAAGTGCATCAATGAATGTATAGATGTAACCGCTGTCTGCAAAATGAACAGAAGTGTTAGAAGGTACGTTAATGAATGTACATAATCTGTTCTGAAAATACCATCATACTACATATTCATAGTACTTTTCCTCCCTTCACATGTGTGTCTGTGAAGAAGCTTAATATCAACATTAGAGTATGTACTATTTGTACACTTAATCGAGTTTTACAGAACACTTACAAGGAGTAATGTTTGTCTTACAGTGATGGTCGGATCAAATATATTTGGAACAAGGACAGTATTATAATTAACATTCCATTGCCTTTTGGTGGAAGATCATCACATGACATAAAGATACCAAGGAGTGTAAAAACACCTCCACTGGTAATGCAATCAGTGGGACTAAACGTACCATCCAAGGAGTACAGAATTCCACCATTTACAATTCCGGAGTCCTACCCACTTCATGTGCCTCTCCTTGGCACTTTAGATATCTCCACAAACCTCTACAGCAATTATTACAACTGGTCTGCTGCTTACAAACTGGCAAACACAACAAAGACTATACCAAGCATGAGAACAAATTACCACATGACTGCTGATTCTGTTTTTGAGCTACTTTCATTCAATGTACAGGGTAAGAGCTTTACCGTTATTGTTATCCTTATTTTTATTCTTATTTTTATTCTTATTATAGCTTTTGTGAAACTGTTTCTAAATGTCTGTAGTCTTATATGCACCATATTAAGCATATTAATTTGTACATGGTAGACAGCTATAGAGCTATTAAATATTGATTTAGACAATTTAACATTAAAACCCCACTTTTCCAATACTGAAAGCCCAATCCTACAAATGTCACAGCTAAGTGCTTTCAGATCATATATGTTTGTGGGTTTGTGTCCATGTAACTCAGGTAGCTAGATGGCAAACATTATAATATGTGAGCACACCTAAAAAAATGGTGTGATTCAGATAATTGCTAGAGAGGTACCTACACTCTACCTAACTTCCCTAAGGAAGCCAAACTGTTCTGTATTCTTCTCAGATCACATCTAATTTACACTCCCAATTTTGACCTCAGTACAAAGCGTGGTAGGTGCAGCCACTTTTACTCAAAACGAAGCCAGGGGAGGAAGTGGTACTCCCCTGGTGGCTAATTATCTAGTATTTATAACAACTGTATAGAACAGGGAATTAGGCTGAGAGGCACCTCCCACTTCCCAGGAGACTGTGCCAACCTCCAGGCTTTTGAACAGGGGAGCATCCCTGCCACTAAGCTAGTGACTCAAGCTCTTGCTCTTTTATGTGCCATATCTCTTATATTCACAAGGGGCCAGATTCTTCAACAAGAAGGATGAAGGGTGCCTTCTACCCAAAATATTCAATAGCTTGGTGGTTAGGGCACTGTTCTGTCAAGTAGGAGAAGTGGGGTTGAATTCTCTCCTGTAAACCTGGTCTCCCCCATCTGGGGTGAGTGGTCTAATTGCTAAGCTGATAGTCAAAGGATGGGTGCTACCTGCCCCCTCTTTGAGAGAAGCTAACAAGCTGCTGTATTTTGCAATGAGCTCATGGCATGAGTGAGGCATGATCTAAGGACACTAAACAGACTAGGCTGCTCTGGAGGCTTGGATGGAGTTTAGGTGTTTCAATTTAGGGACTTTTTGAAAATGTGATGACAGATGTCAGAGTGACACCCTGCGTTTCAGAAATATTCAATATTTACTAAAACACTTTTAGCCTGATAAACAAAGAAAGATAAAATTCCAGAAAAATGTAATGACAAAATATAACATAATTTTTGTCCCAGAAATGTAAAATATTTATTATTTCTGTGTCATTCTCTCCCCCACCCCATTTCCCTACCTCCCCGTATTCAGGTAATGGAGAAATATCATCTGATAACCATATGTTCACCTACACGCATGAAAATTCCCTGGAACACATACTCCTAAGCTCCAAATTTAAATTCTCCAAGACTAGGAAGTATGAACCCACATTCAGTTCAAAAGACACCATTTCACTTCAGGCATCTAGCACTCTGGGTGCTCAGCTCTCCTTCATTAGTGATATGGACTTCAAAAAAGAAAGTAGCGTGGGAACCAGTAACATGAGGATGGAAGGACAGGTGCAAGTCGCTTCAGTCTTTGCAAGAAGCACTTACACTCTCACAAGTACCTACAATGAAAACAGCCATGAGCTAGCGGGTGACTCAAATCTGAACCTGGACTCTTCTTATCTTCAAGCTTCTAACCAGATGACTGGCAGATATAGCAATGATGTGTTTTTAATTAATTCAGTCTCTGATGTACAGAGCGGTACCTTAAGAAACACAGCCTCACTGAAGTATGAAAAGAGCCACCTGAAAGTGATCTCTGAAACAAATGGAAGATACCAAAACCTGGCAGGTCTCAACAAATTTGAATTAACTTTGGCAAAGCGGGGGGCTGCACTTCGTAGTGAGTTCCAAACCACCTACAAACAAAATCGATATTATGCCCTGCTTACAAGTTCTCTCGATGCCCAGGGTTTTGTCCTCAACACTGATGTCTCGGTGAACGATCAGCGAAACCGAGCAGCCCACAAGTCCAGCTTAACTATTAATCAGGATGGTTTGGCCAGCAGTGCAACCACAAACTTGCAGTTTAGTCCACTGATGCTACAGAATGAAATGAATGCTAGACTGGGTATTTCTGGAGGCTCCCTGATGGTTTCTTCTTCTGGACGGTATGGTAAACACAATGCAAAATTCAGCATAGATGGAAGAGTGGCCCTAATGGAAATAGCACTGGGAAGCGTATACCAGAGCACAGTCCTGGGTGCAGATAGCAAAAACATCTTCAACTTTAGAGTTAATAGAGAAGGACTCAAGTTCTCCAATAACTTAGTAGGATCATACAAGGAAATGAAGCTTGAGCATGTTAATGAGCTGAACATCCCTGGCTTCTCTTTAGCATTCGTTTCAAAATTAGACAACACTGTCAGCGCTGACAAGTCCCACAAGCATTCTTTTGACCTGCAACTGCAGCCCAGATCACTCACAGCTAAACTGAACAATGATATAAAATTCAGTGAATTTGACATTACCAACAAAGCAGAGCTACGACTAGAGCCACTGAAGCTGAACCTGGGTGGCAATGTGAGAGGAGCTTACAGAACAAACGAAGTCAAGCATACATACACCATTACTTATGCTGATCTGGCAGCCAGTTTCAAAACGGACACGCTTGCAAAAGTTCAAGGCACAGCACTGAGCCACAGGGTAAACCTGGAGATTGCTGGACTCGCTTCCTCCGTTACTATGAACACAAACTGCGATTCCAAACACCTACATTTCACCAATGTGGTACGGTCCATAATGGCCCCGTTTACTGTTACAACCGATATACACACCACTGGTGATGGGAGTCTGATTGCTATGGGAGAACACACTGGACAGCTATACAGCAAATTTCTGTTTAAAGCAGAGCCCCTGGCTTTCACAATGTCCCATGATTACAGAGGAGCCACTGGGCACACCCTGAAGTCGGGAAAAAAATACACTACTGTACTTGATAACAAAATCGGTCTGCTTTTTACCCCATCAGAGCAGTCAAGTGCCTGGAAGCTGAAAAGTCAACTGAACAATAATATGTACACACAGGAGCTCAGTGCTTACAATGATGCAGAAAAAGCTGGCGTGGAACTGAGTGGGAAAGCATTAGCAGACCTCACTATAATGGACTCCCCAGTTCAAGTTCCATTCATGTCTGAAAGAATTAATCTAATCGATATGTTAGGCCTGAGGGACAGTGTTGAAGACCCTCAGGAATTCAGCATCTCTGGGTCTGTGAAGTATGACAAGAACAAAGATATGCATTTGATTAACCTGCCATTCCTGGATCGCCTGCCAGTGTATTTTGAACAAATCAAAGGTGCAGTTATATCAACCCTGCGGTCTATGCAAAAATACTTAAGAAGCATAAATGTAGAGCAGCATATGAGAAAATACAGGGCATCTCTGGATAAGCTCCCACACCGGGTTAATGACTACATAAACAAAATAGATTTAAAAAGCAGGGTTAACCGTATGAAACAGACTTTGGTTGCATTCACAAAGGATTATAATATAACAGCTGATGACTTGCAAACTACATTGGAAAATGTCATAATCCATTTTCAGGATGCAGTGGTTCAGCTTCAGGCTTACTTGATAAAAATTGAGCAGTTCATCAGAGAGAATTATGATCAGTATGACATTCAAACAGCTATTGCAAAGCTGATTGACCAAATAGTTGAAAGAATGAAAATTCTAGATCAGCAGTACAAAATCACTGTCACCATGATTAACACTCTCCAGAGCTTACAGACCACCATTGCTCAGTATGACCCTAGCACATTAGGAAGCAGCACTTCAGCTTGGATTCAAAATGTGGATGATCATTACAAAATCCGAGTTCGGATACAGGAAAATCTAGAGCGACTCAGGATTCTTATTCAAAATATTGATGTGGGATGGATTGCAGAAAACTTGAAACAGCAGATACAGGCCATTAACATGAAAGAGGTTTTGGAAAAAATAAAGGGTTCATTTCCGGTTAAAAAGATGAATGACATTATTGAGCAAATTAAAGAGATTCTCCTCAATTTCGTGGAGGATTATGAAGTGACTGAAAAGATCAATGCTTTCCGGGGGAAAGTGCACGAACTGATTGTGAAGTATAAACTTGACAAGCAGGCATACCTGTTAATGGATGGGTTGATAGAAATGTCTAATCAGTACAAAGTGAAAGAATTTGTCCAGAAACTAACCATCTCTCTGAAAAAAATAGATATAAAATCACTCTTTGACAAAATTGTATCTTTGATTGATGATGCTGTCAAGCAAGTTCAAATGCTTGATTATAAAAAGTGGGTAGATGAAATCAACACGTTCCTTGATATGGTTATCAAAAAGTTCGTCTCTTTTGACTATAACCAATTTGTAGATGACACAAACAACAAAATCCGAGAAGTGACCCAAAAAATCAATGAGGAACTCAGAGCTCTAGAGCTTCCGCAGAAAGTAGAAGCACTGAAGCAGTATATAAAAGAAGTCAGTGTTGTAGTTTCACAATTCATACAACAGCTAAAGGACACCAACCTTGCAGTAATGATCACCTGGGTCAGAGACCTGCTAAACTCAACAGCATTTATGAGTCTGAAAGCCAAGATAAATGAACATCTGGAAGACCTGCGAGAGAGGATTTATGAAATGGACATCACTAAGGAATGCCAGAGGTATCTTCAGATGGCAAGCCAATTCTACCATACCATTGTCACATACATTTCTGACCAATGGAACATTGCTGCTGAGAAAATTGCTATTTTGGCTGAGCAATATAATGTGAAACACTGGGCTGAAAATGTGAACCAGTTAATTGAAACAGGTTTTAGAGTTCCTGAAATCAAAACTGGCTTAATCAACTTACCCTCCTTTGAAGTTAGTCTTCGAGCTCTACGGGAAGCAACTTTTCAAACACCAGACTTCGTAGTTCCATTGACTGACCTGCACATCCCCTCTTATCAGATAAACATCAAGAAATTAAAAGACTTAAAAATCCCCATGAGATTTACCACACCAGAATTCACTATTCTAAATACTTTTAAGGTTCCTTCATATACAATTGACTTGATTGAGATCAAGCTACAGATTGTGCAAACAATAGACCAAATGATATCCGGTGAATTTTATTTGCCAACACCTATGTACTTCAGAGATCTGAAAATGAGCGATATGCCTTTTTCTGGCATTTCCTTCCCAGAAATACAAATTCCTGAGCTACAGATACCTGAAATGTCAATCCCTAAACTGAATCTAAATGATTTCCAGATTCCTAATGTTCAGATACCAGAATTTCAGCTGCCACGTATTCCACACACAGTGGCCATCCCCACATTTGGCAAGCTGTCCAGTGCTTTCAGAATAGCCTCTCCATTCTTCACTCTCTCTACTCAAGCTGGTGTTCAGAACACTACAGCATCTGCAAAAAGTCCAGAATTTGTGGCCACTGTTTCAGCTCAAGCAACGTCCAAGCTGGATTTCTTTGCTTTCACAATGAATGCAGACGCACGTCTTTCAGCCCCAGAAATGCAGCAGCTAAACCTTAAAGAAACCATGAAGTTCACTCATAGATTCCTTAAAGCTGATCACAAAGGTGAAGTGACATTTTTAGGGACTTCTGTGGAGGGGAAAGCTGAAACCACAGCAAACATACGGACTGCCAAGAATTCAATCGAAGTTCATAATAACTTAATGGTCAAACTACAGAAAAAGATTTCAATGCAGAGCAGGACAACCTATTCACACAGACTCAATATCCCACAGGCTGATCTCTCCAGTCAGGCTGAGCTGAGCAATGATATGACTACAGAGTTAGAAGCAGGACATATATTATTTACGTCTAATGGAAGAGGAAACTGGAAGTGGGGTGTCTCTGATTTCTCCGATGAAGGTACCCATGAATCACATGCCACTTTTAAAGTCGAGGGACCCCTTATTGTATTTGCTGCTGAAAACAAGATAAATGATAAATACTTGAAAGTCAACCAAAATGTGAATTATGAATGTGGTTTCCTAAATTATGCAAAGCTTCAAATTAAATCTGAGATTGAGTCGCAGCACATAGGGCGTAGTATTCTGAACGTACAAGGTAAAGGGCATCTTGGAGAAATGAAAGTAGAACTAACAGGATCTCATAATGCTCAGCTCAATGGACAAATTACTGGAGTCATAAATAACAATATTGCCTTCTTAGTCCAGCCTTTTGAAATCCACACATCTACAAACAATGAGGTGAATGTGAAAGTTAGCTTCCCAATGAAACTAATTGGCAAAATTGAATATCTGTATAATTATGGTCTGGTGCTTAGTTCTTCAGTTCAGCAAATCAACTGGCAAGCTGGTGGCAGATTCAATCAGTATCGATGTGTCCTTAACGTGTCTGCTGGAAACGATGAAGACAAAACTGACGCATATGTAGGGGTGAACGGTGATGCCAACCTGGACTTCCTACTTATTCCTCTAACAGTTCCTCAATTTGATATTCCCCATACTGGAATGAAAACACCTCAACTGAAAGAATATTCGCTGTGGGAACAAACAGGACTGAGGAATTTCTTGAAGACTACAAGGCAATCATTTGATTTAAATTTGAAAGTCCAGTATAAGAAAAACAAAGACATGCACTCAATCCCACTTCCCCTAGAAGCAGTATATGAAAGAATTAATAAGTACATCATCTCCGTCAATAAGCATTTTGAGAAAGGAAGAGACAATACATTAGATTTTCTCACCAGGTCATATAATGAAGCCAAAGCAAAGCTTGACAAATACAAAGTCGAGCCTTCACTCAGCAAGCTACGACGCACCTTCAGGATTCCAGGATATACCATTCCCATTGTGAATATTGAAGTCTCACCCTTTACAGCTGAGCTGCCAGCATTTGGTTATTTGATCCCCAGAGAAATAAGCACACCAGGCTTCACAGTCCCACTTATTGGCTTTTCAGTACCGTCTTATACTCTAGTCTTGCCCTCTCTGGAACTGCCAGTGCTTCACGTCCCACAAGACCTGCGCACACTTAAGCTTCCGAACTTCAGAATGAACAATCCAATAGATCATATCCTGATTCCAGCTTTGGGAAACATTACCTGTGACTTTTCATTTAAATCCAGTGTGATCACTCTGAATTCAAATGCTGGGTTGTTCAACCAATCAGATATTGTTGCTCACCTCCGTGCCACCTCTCTTTCATTCATTGAGGCATTGCAGTTTAAATTAGATGGTACATCCAGCTTGACAAGGAAAAGAGGTTTGAAGCTGGCCTCAGCCCTGTCCCTGAGTAATAATAAATTTGTGGAAGGAAACCACGACAGCACTGTTAGTCTTTCAAAAAAGAGTGTGGAAGCTTCACTGACAACAAATGCAAAGATCAACACACCAGTTCTCAAGATGAATTTCAGGCAAGAACTTACAGGAAATACTAAGTCCAAACCCACTGTTTCCACCGTGAATCATTTAAGTTATGCCTTTGATATTCTTGACTATGTTGGCAAAGCTAAAGGTGCAATTGATCACAAGTTCAGTCTGGAAAGCCTTACGTCTTACATTTCTCTAGAAACAGCCACAAAAGGAAACATCAATGGGTTATTCTACACCCTAACTCCATTTTCTGGAACATTAATCCATGAAGCAAATACCTACCTGAATGCTAATGGAGTTCGGTCCTCAGTCAAGCTTGAGACTAACTCTCAAGTAGATGGAATTGGGAATGTGAACATGAAAGAAAATCTTGCTGTGGAAGTGTCTTCCCGTCGGATTTACGCAGTCTGGAACCATAATGGGGAAAACCATGTACGATTGACCTCTGCTTTTACAACCACAGGGACTCAGAACACCAAAGTAATCCTTGAAATGTCTCCTTGGAGTATGTCAACAACTCTTCAGATACAAGCTACCCAACCAAATTCCCTCATGGAAACAGCTCTAGTTAATCATGTTGTTTTAATGAACCTCAATACTGAAAATCAGAAGCTCAGCTGGAAGGGTGAAGGCCAAATTCATTCATTGTATCTGAGCCATGATACGCAGCTATCAAATGAAAACTCAAAGGCACAATTTGATATTTCTGGATCATTGGGAGGACATGTAGATTTCCTCAAGAGCATTGTGTGTCCAGTTTCTAACAGGAACCTGTGGGATATCTTAAAATTGGACGTCACCACCAGCGCTGACAAAAGGCAGTACTTAAATGGTTCAGTATCCATAGTTTATACAAAGAGTGAAGATGGTTACAGCTTCCCTATATACGTGAATAAATTAGCAGATGGCTTCACATTCACTATTCCTGAAATACATCTGGAAGCTCCAGGTCCTATTCTCACAACTCCAGAATTTAAAGTTCCTTTCACAACTCTGCAAGTTCCCTCATATACCTTTGACTTACGCAACATAAAAATCCCACAGGAGCTAACCACAATGCCATTTAACATTAGTTTGCCCTCTCTCCCACAGATGAGCTTTCCAAAAGTAGATGTAGGAACCAATTATATCACACTGGAAGAATATAAAATTCCATACTTTGAGGTGACAATACCTGAGTACCAAATAACTGTGTCTCAGTTCACTCTTCCAAAAACATTCTCTCTTGGAAACCAAATTGTGGATCTGAATGAAGTGGCCAATAAGATTGCAAACTTTGATCTCCCAACAATTACAATTCCTGAGCAGAAAATTGAGATTCCACCTTTAAAAATATCCTTGCCTGCTGGAATTTATATCCCTGCATTTGGTGCTTTGACTGGATCTTTCAGAGTCGCCTCACCTTTATACAATGTCACCTGGAAAACAGGCCTAAAAAATAATAAGGACTCGTTTGAATATTCCCTTGATTCCACTTCGAGTTCAACACTACAGTTCCTGGAATATGATCTTGATGGTAAGAAAAGCATTTGAATTTTTTACTCCAGTGTGGGTTAAAATGTTGCACGCTGTTCTTTTTGCAACTTTCCAAACATTATCTTAGCAGAGATTTTCTGCTAAGGGGAGGGAAAACACAATGTCTGTTCTCCACCTGAATTAACTTTAATAGCAACACATCTTTATTTCTTCTTCCTCCTGTTAATCCTGCCTGGACAGTGTAGGAGAGAGACTGTGCCATCAACAGAATTGTTTAGTGATCCACAATTAGTTTCACCTCTGCAGACACTCTTGGGAGTGCACAGGTGTTATTAACAGCATAGTTTAAAAAACATAGAGTTGTGGCACTTTAGTTGAGGGCACAGTTTGCTGCATTGAGTTGGACAGGCACATTGTTAGGCTTTGGAATCTCTAAAACTGGTTGAAATGCATAGGAAGGATGGTTTATTTCTAGGTTTAGTTTGTACATGAGGAAACTCCTGTCTCTTTGCATACAAAGTAAGGGTGAAGTTGCACATTATACTTAAGTCATACTAAATCTGGAATGTCAGGGGGTGCAAAAATTAGAACATGCTGTGACCAGTCACGTGTTAAGGGTTAACGGCTTTTCTTGCCTGCTCTAAGATGTTAATGGACTTGCAAATACAGGGCTGATGAGGAGAGCCATGACTAGGAACCAGAATACTTGGGCTCTGTTCCTACTCTGAGTGGCGGGGGAAGGGAAAAGGGGAGCAGTGCATCCTGGGATGCTGGAGGACTGCAGATTGCTACTTTTATTTCCATAGAGCAGACTGAATTACCCTAACACTGACCTCAGTTAACCTTTGCCTGAACTACCATAATTTGAGATGCTCAGAGGGCACTTAGAATGAGTTAACAAGCTTTAATGTGTGGACATTCACATTTTAAGTGCCCTCAGTATGGTCTAAGTGTCACATATAACTTCAACCTAAAAATAGTTTTCTGTAAAATTACTAAAATACAATCAATGCAGAATCCGAAAATAAGATTTTACGGTCAATTTTCTGAGTATAACCACCAGTTAAAGTTATCCTAAAATTGTAAGGCAAATACAAAATGATTTCACACGTAAGACAAATAATCTCAGTTTATAGTCTGTCTGAAGAACACAAAGCAAAACAAGACGACTTTTAAAATCTAAGTTCCAAGGAGAGAGACAAAGAAGCAATTGCATAGCTTATTTCTCCATGGTTCTATAACAGTACCTGCAATGTTTGCTATAACGCATCGAGCATTTTAAAATATCTTGGCAAAAAAGGTGCAATACTTAACTTCCTAACCTACAATAATTTATTGTGAAACATTAGCAATTTGGTCAGCCAAAATGCAGGATAGCATTTGATCTTTTCTGTTGTGATTCTGAAAAGTCAGACAACATGAAATCTTTCTTTTGTAGCTGTGTCAACCTGCAGATATGAAGGAGAAGTGTTTGCTGTAAAGACAATAAGCAGGTTTTCACATCCTGACTTGAGTGCTGTATATAAGGGAGATTTTGCTATGCGAGGAATTAGGTAAGTGTTTGCTCTGATAACATACTTTTTAATAGACAAAACTGCAGATGCTTTGCTATAACTGTAAAAAAAAATATGTGGCTGTCATACATCTTTGGTCCCTGGTACCACCTCCCATATGCCACCCCACGAGTAATTGGGAAGCTGCCAGTAGGTTTTCCTAATACCATTTTTCTGAACAGACCTATATCACAAGGCTATGAAAAAAAAATAAGTTAACCAAAGTTTTGCTGAGCTTCATCTTCACCAGTCTGATCCCTTTTGATGGGCATATGCATTGTGGTCTTAATTGTCACCCAGAAGTATCCTCTATTGATGAAAGTATTACTGTATGCAGATATATTCCAAATTGGGAAATTTACTATAGCATTTATTTTCCTTAATAACCATTTGTTCATGGCTATTTTAGAGTCCCGGACCACTCTGCAGTACTGGACATCACCAGCCCAACCTTTATCGATGTTCATGTGCAGTATAATGGAACTAAGAACAAGATCTCTTCATCGATATCTTCACCATCTGCTGGCACCCTGGGTTCATTTTTTGAGATGGATGATAATCTCCTCAGGCAGAAATTGTACTACCGGAGTCAGGTAGGAAAAGTTTGAAATCAGTCAATGAGGCTTTGGTTTTGGACTGGGAGGGGGAGGGGATAGGCAATGGGGGCTCTTTTTCTTTTCAAAGTTAACCTAATACTTAGTATGGGAGTCACAATGAGTTTTGAGAACTGCCAGTTGTCCAAGGAAAAAGCAAACCATCAACAGCATTAGTCAGAGCTTTCTCAGCTCTTTCCAGCCATGGCAATAAGCTTTAATCTCATTCTGAAAATTATATCCCAATGTGCAGTCTTTGTGTCAGAGATTAGTTGAGAAATAACTGGAAAGCAGTTGGGAATCTCAAAGTGATGACAATCAGAAGCGCAAATTAAATTTAATCCGAAACCCTGAAAGTGCCTATCACAGGGCCACTAGAATGTTTCTGGTATATTGTGTGTCACAAGAAATCAGTGCCGATCACACAATGTCAAAAGGTTTAATATTCTACGATGATGTGTTAAAGTAGGAGCCACATAAAACTAATCTAATCTATAGAACATATATATTCAGCAACCTCAGATCACACAGAGGAACAATTCTTCTAATAGCCTCAGCAATCTAAAGTCATGACATCAAAGATATGGCCTATGGCCCAAATCTGGCCCATGGAGATGGGTCATCTATCCCATAGGGCTGCCTACCTCTATGGACCAAAGTGGTGCCACAGGGCATGTCACTGGAGCTGCCAGAGCCGCTTTGCCAGAGATGCTCCAGGATCCCCCTGCAATCACCCTTTACTCTTTAGTCGCCATCAACAACTAAAATCCTAAAATTGATGGCAGGGGAAAAGGACAGGGCAAGTGGCAGCTGCATTAACCCCCTGGGTTCTGGAGCTGTGACAATCAATATAGCATTGACAGCAGCCATTTGGATAAACACTGCCATTACTTGCAGGTCATTCAGCTCATAAGAAGCCCCCTGGTCCAAATGTGACCCAGAGTGCCACCCCTGCTCTAAAATGTTACTGGATTTCTATTTAGAAAAAAGCATCTCTTTAAATTCCTTATAATCAGAGCTTAGTGGATGAGTAGAATTGAAAGCAATGAAATTTGAAAAAAAGATGGACCCCCTTTCCAATTTTTTTGTGTCAATGTCAAAGTGTAGGGACAACATAGCCTTTAAAAGCTTTGGTATGTGATAGGTAACAATGGATTTCTATTAAGATTAAGTGAGCATCTATTAAAATCAATAGAGTGCAAAATGTTGGGAAAAAAAACTATTTGAAATCTACCTATGATTTAGAGACATGCTTTTAGAGCAGAAATATGATGTAAATAATATTGCATGTGTAATTTGCTTTTTCACGTATTCCATTTTATATTTTCAGTCTGCCCCTCATAGAGATATTGACATACTAAAAGGTGAGATATCATTCAAGAAACGTGACCTGATTCAGATTAAAATAAATTGGAAAGAGGATGCAGCCCCAAACATGCTGAGGGGTCTAAAAGAAAAGATCCCTAAAATTATAGATGCAGTCTACAACTGTGTTAACAAATACCACAGGGAGCACATGGGGATGGACATGAGTGCTGCCACTTTACAGGCAAAGATCCTAATGCAAAACAATGCTGACAAAGCGTACCAAATTGCTATAAAGCAAGTAGATGAAATAGATCTTCAGCTTCGTACAGCAGCCAGCCAGGCCACTGAAAAATACCAAGAGATGAAGGCAAAAACCCAACAGTTATATAAGAAAGCAGCAGATCAAGCTGCTCAGATTGACTACCAACAAATCACAGCAAAGATTTTTGATACAACCATAGACATAATAAAAGAATACCACATCAAGGTAAAGCACCTGATTGACTCATTCATTGAATTCCTGAAGACCACCAAATTCCAGGTCCCTGGACTGACTGACAAACTTACAGGTGAAGAATTATATGCAATGTCTACAGAGAAGGCAGCAAAAGTTATTGATCAATGCATTTTAAAACTGGCAGAATATTTTGATGCTTTGATTGTATTGATCAGTGAGCTGGAAGTTAAAGTTCCTGTTTCTGAAAGAGTGATCAAAGGTCATGATGTGGTGGAAAAAATTAAGGAAATGCTTAAAGATTTGCAGAAACAAGTTAGACAGGTATTTACTAGTCTTAAAGGGGCTGACTTTGCAGAAAAGCTCGAGAAACTTAAACAGTTTGTGCAAGAAGTCTTCCAGAAAGTGGAAGAACTTATTAGAAACCTACAGTCCAAAAACTTTGACGATATCAAAATCCAAACTCAACAGTTGTACAAGGATGCCATCAACTCAAGCTATGCAAAAAAATTAAAATCCCTATCTGGGGCTTTCAAAGAATACCTCTACCAGGTAAAGGATTTTAACCAAAAGGTGTTCCAGGAGCTTTCAGAGAAGCTGCATCATATACTTACCTACATAAAGATACTGAGGCAGGAATATTTTGATCCAAGTATAATAGGATGGTCAGTCAAATACTATGAAGTAGAAGAGAAGGTGATAGAGTGGCTGAAGAGTCTGATAGATACACTGAAGGACTGGCGTGACAAGTTCATTGAAGATATTACTGACATGGCTGCACATCTGATTAATCAAGGAAAAGATTTAGGTGAAAAGCACGGCCAGGTGTATTATGACCTGCTTACAGATACTGATGGAAAGGGAAAAGAGAAAATCAGGGAGCTCTCTTCTGCTGCTCAGGAAAAGATACAGCATTGGTCTGCAGCTGTTAAAAAGGGTGCTGCTGAGCAACACAAGCAAGTCAAAGCAAAACTGCAGGGCACCTATGACCAACTTCTTCTATCCTATGAGTGGGTAATTACAGAGACAAGAAAATTAATTGATGTGGCTATTGAAAGTTATTCCACAGTCATTCAGTACATCACAGAGCTTCTCTATAAGTTGGAAAAGTCAGCTGCAGAAAGCCTCAAGGCCTACATAGCCGTTCGCCCAGGAGAGCTTAGAATAGATTTACCCAAACCATTTAACTGGCAATCAGTGTCTAAATTTGCCCAATTAAGTGAGGAGGCACTGAGGAAAAAAGTGGAACTAACACGCACATTAATGCAGCAAGGCATTGAACAAGGCTCTAAGAAATGGGAAGAACTGCAAATATTCATTGACCAACAGCTTGCTGTTGACCAACTGAGTGTTCAGCAGATAATGGAAAACCTACAGAAGCTCATAAAAACCTGAATGGACATGCAGAAGAACAAAAATACCAAGTTTGTGTGACAATGTATTTAAAAATGACAGTAATTAGCATATTGGAACTTAGGGAAGATACTGTCTGAATTTGAATTTGTAAATGAAAAACAATCTAGAGCAGGTTATTTTAATACATTTAGAAAGCCAATAAATGAATTCTTTATTACATTTTTGTGTCATTCATTACAGCCTTGGGTCATATAACCTGATCCAACCATCATTATGGTCAAAGGAAGTCTTTGCCCTGATTTCAGTATGTGTTGGACCAAGTCAATATTGTGCAATACATTTTGTAAATAGTCATGAAAGCTATGGAATACATAGAACAAGTAGGGTTCAAGATAAAGGTCACATTCATGAGCCACTTAAAAACAACTTGGAAATATTAATATTCCTAGTATAGGAGTTAACAGCAAAAGTACTCTCCTCACTATGCCAAGGGAAAAAGAGAGAAGAATATGTGCCCTGCAAAGAAAGCAAAGAAGAATATGACTGAATTCTACAAATATGGTCAAGAAGGAAAAAATTAATTCCATTGTCAGGAGAGGCAAATAGTATTACTCTATTAAATGCAAATGATAATGCATGTATTTGTCAGTATTACTGAGAAAAAAATATGCCATAAATGTTAGGAAAAATAATTTTGTTCTGGGCTAATTTTGTAACCCAGAAATGTGGGGACAGGGGGATAGGTTTGCTTGGGTTTTTTTCACCTCCACAAAAGTTCAGGTTTCACATCAAATTGTATGACTGTGATTATTTTAATTTCACAAGTTTCACTGACATTGATCTCCATCGGAGTCAAAAAGAGTTTTCCATTGTCTTCAGTAGGCTTTGGATTGGGCCTTGTATGCGAGAAATTCCAAAGTTTGAAATTTAAATAGAAATGTTGAAGGCTTCACTCAAAAATAGGACCATTCCCAAATGGAAAATGTGTGGGTCTAGTAAGTTATTTAGGTTTACATGCAGCTGTTAGAATGTTATGTTGATACTCCTTTAAAAAGGTCCAGGAGAGGCTGCAATAATGGGCTTTCTACTCTTTGTTGCCTCTTTGAGAATAAACTCTTTACGAAATGTCACTAGAAACTTTGTGAGTACATTTATTTTGATGTAATTTATTCCTTCCAATTTTTGTTTGCTTGTTTGTTCATAGGAAAGCTCTCAGGTTTCTTGTAAGCCATGTTTCTCGCCCATATCTACCTAGTCACACTTCATATTCTTTCAGAGTATGGTCACACATACAGTTGGAGCCATTTCGAAAGGGCAGCCGTTGTTGTAATTTAATTGTTACATGTAGACAAGCCAAGAATGATACAAGTGTAGCAAAACCGCTCCAGCTTTAACACTGCTTCGTCCAGTGTTAGAGTTGGAGCAGTTTTGCTACATGTATATCATTCTGGGTTTGTCCACATGTAAGAATTACAATATAACAGCTGCTTTCCTTTTGAAACATTGCGCTTGTGAAACTGTTCCAAATGTATGTGTGTCAATACTATTACAGACTGGGCTCATCCATCGGTTAACTGCCTGGTGTGCTATTAGTGGAGAAAATCCTTCATGACTGATGTCTCGGGCTGGCTAAACTAACCCTGAGAAACACCAACTCAGCCAAAGCTGCCGAAACGCATACACCTGTCGAGCAGCAGGGAGGGAAAGGCTGGCCCTTCGAAAGTAAAACTTCCTCAGCTCCAGCATCAGGTCCGGTGCTGCCAGGGATCCCAGCCAGGATACATCATTCGATAATGCTCGGGGTTGAATCCCTTGAGAACTGCTAAAGGAGTTGTGATTTTGAATTGAAGTAACCTACACCTATCCTCCTGCCTTTCTCAGTCCCTGAAAATAGGGAAGATCACAGCTGTAACAATCTGTTTAGTCCTTCTCCTGAGATCAAAAAAAGACTTGATTCAGTTTAGCAGCTTTGGCAAAAGAAAATCCTTTCATCTTCCTTCATAATAAATCTTCAGCCAGTAGGTCATTGGACTACAACTTGCCTCAAATTACCTCTGCCCCTTCTCCATGAACCTCAAAAACATGTGAACATAACCAGATTTATCAGGCACAAACAGAACCTGGTAATTCTGATGACAAGGACCCTGTAAAACTGAATATCTTGATAAATATTTACAGCGAGAGATTAAAACATGTTTCCCTTTTTCTTCTTCTTTCCTATGGCTATTTATTTCTGTCTACCATCCCCAGTTCTTGGGCAGAGAAGAAATTCTACAGAAGGTTTAGCATGTAAGGGTTGGGTTAACTGAATCATAAATTAGTGGGATAGCATAAATATTGGCTCTATTTGGCAAGATTAAAGATCCCAAGAGCAAACACAATAGTTTACACACGAAACTGTGGTTAGAGGGAGACTTCCAAGTCTCAAAACAGCATTGCAGCCAATGGATTAAAGCTCTCAATTATGTAATCTGTATGGCAGCCATTTTGCAGTCATTCCACAGTTGGTCTGGGGTGTGCTGCTCTCAGTACAGAGATCTCATCGTTGCAGTACTTCACAGCTGTCCATTGCCATCCCAAAATAAAAATCAGCCAAACTCTATAAAATCTGGACTTGGTTTTGACATGAAGATATACGTACGTGTGTGTGTGTGTGTGTGTGATGCATGTATCTATAATAGATAGCACAAACCACTTTTTCAACACAAAACTGTGAGCTAACAACTGAACGTAACTTTAAATTCCTTGGCTTTTGCTAGATGGTATCAAACTTGACCTGTATTTTTTTTTCCGTGTAATATTTTACAGAATTTTGGACTAAACCACAATTATTCAAATTACGGTGCAATTTTTTCCACTTATGAAATGTTAGCAACCAGCTCTCAAAATATTAGTATTCCAATCCTGTCCTTTTTTGAGCCCTAGTTTATAATATAAGAAATAAGATATTTCATTAAACAGAATTGTGTGGGAGATGGATATCAGGAATGAACAGCTATCTGGGACTCAGTGACATTGCTTCGCTTTTTCCTATAGTTTTATCATCTGAATTCTCATAAATACTGAAGGGGCTTTATAATTTACAACAAGTATTGGACACAGAGCAGAGCTGGTTGTAAAAGTTTAATTAAGTGAAATATTTTAACAAGAAATTCAGAGAACAATATGCCCCGCTCTCAACCAAGTGATCATAGAAATAACATTGACAAGAAACGTGTGTGTTCCTAAATGAAAAACTTTTGCAAGAAGCAGGAAAGTAAAAGTTTTCCAGAACTTAGGCTGTGCAACATTATCTAGAACTAGCTTAAAATAAGCATTATAAGATTACTTCCAGTATATACCAAAGGCCCATAGAGTGTAGTATCTGTCTCCAACACTGGATTATGCCAGTAACATTTGTTTGGCATCCATCTCTATGTTCTTACATGGGATAAGTTGAACCATTCGATTGCTCAGTAAAAGACACTAAACACCATACACTTCTGCTGCAGGCAGATTTACTGGTCAAATGGGAAACAAAAATTTATTAAGGGGCAAAGCTGATGTTTGTTCTGTACATGGAACTCCTCTTGACATCCAGAGTTGGTTGCATTTCATTGATATAGAGCCAAATCCTGGCCCAAATTAAATCAATGGCAAAATATCCATTGGCTTCAATGGGAGTAGGATTTGGCCTGTTGTGTATGTATAATTTGAGAAGCACTTTGGGAACCTACGGAATGAAAAAGCTGTATTATTATATTACATACAAGAACCTCTGTTGAAAGAACTCAAAGGCTGGAAAGTCGAGCACTTACAAGTTCAGAAACTCCAGAGCGAAGGTTGCTTGTGCAATATTAATTTGGCTTCTTTTTTGCATGTGAATTATGATACTGACTTGCCAAATATCACATAGGAAGCCTGTGGTAGAACCAGGAACAGAGCCAGCAAGAAAATTTCCCTACTCTTCTTGCAATTCTCTGCCTCATTTCACTGTTCATCAGGGGCATGGAATAAGGCTGGGCTCTTGTAGAACAAAAACCTTTGTGATCAAGTCATTGAAGTAACAAAGTTGGCCCCTATGGTGACTTAAGTAAAAAACATGGGGGATATGAGAATTCAGCTCACTCTATTTCTATTTTACAGTTATATTTTTTTGTGTTTGCACCATGGCACTGAATGATAAAAGCCCTGATACTCCAACCGCAACTGTGAAACAAAGATCTTGATTATTGCTTCTAGCTACTATCACCTAGCTAAACATTTCCTATGAGAGTTATAAATGCTGTGCCAATACCTAGCAACAGGCACATTGTATTATATCTTTAGTATAATTCTTCTGTGAAACATGTAAACACTAATCTTCTTTTAAAGAAACAGCATCATCCATGTGCACATTCCGCAAGAAATAACCCTTGTGGCACCTCCATAAGCAAACAAAACAAATCTACTATATTATTGTCTATTTGGCTGAACATGCCTCTGCCCCCCAGTATTCAAAATCATCACTTATCAAACTACTTGTTTATTTGGGGTGAGATCTTGCAGAAGTACTCCTTGTTCCTATTTCACTGGGACTGTCCATGTGCATAATTAACACTCTTTAAGGTCTTATTCCCACTACATGGCTGTGCCCTGTCATAGAGGGTTAGGCATCCCCTCTGCCTCCCATGGAAGTAGAAAGCACTTCAGTACTTACCTGCATGGCCAGCATGGACTTCATGGGACTACTGTTCTCATCATCTGCCACCTGTGCTGCAAGCTCTGGCATGCCTACATCCCTTGTATCTGGGTTTTTGGATGTACCATGTTGATCTAAGGACATAGGTAGGCAAGGTTCTTTGATTAGATGTGATATCTCTTATTAGACCAACTGAGTAGTTAGAAAAAAGTTCTTAGCAAGCTTTAGGGCGCAGTCACCCATCCTCAAGCATAAGGAGTCTGTGCTGGTCTCAAACTCCAAGGAAAGAGAGAAGCTAAAAGTGTGGCAGGATGTCAGTGAGAATGTAAGTAGGTAGAAATTAGAAAGACAAAAGGTAAAGCAAGGAAGGGAGGGGGAAGAAAGCAGTGCCCGCGGTGGCGGGGGGTAGAAGCCAAAGGGAAATACTACAGTGGTAATAAGAAAAGGTAAAAAAAAGGCTCTCAATCAAAAAGGAAATAGTTGGAAATCAGGAAGACAAAGGGCAGAAAAGTAGAGGAGGGGCGGGGAGAAAAGAATACAAGAGGTCAGGGCAGGCAGGTACATGGTGAATCAGATGTCAGGCGGGTTGTAATGCATCATAAATTGAAGATCTATACTGAGACCATGATTTTTTGTATTCAGTAGCATTGGTGACACATAGGGGAAACACAGAGGGGGCATGTGCCCCCCTGAGATTGGCCCCCACCAGAGCTGCCACCAGCTTCTGCTAAAATGTAAGAGGTGTGGGTTCAAACCTCCTGAGGCTGAAGTGGGCCTGAATCTCAGGGCTAACTACTAGGATATTTACAGGGGTGGAAGATCCTTGTTTTGCCCATATGGGTAGCTTGCCTGGAATCTGAATAACCAGATGTGCATTGTAGCAAAAGTTAAAATTCCCCAGTGGAATGAATGAAGAGCCATATGCTTCCTACATAATTGAGGATCTGCTCCTGGAGTCATTTAAATGCTGCCCATTGAAATGAATGAGAACTGCATGCCCCTTTAGGACAAAGAAGAATTTGCCTTTAGGAACACACAAGCTGTATGGTTATGTTCATTGAAAGCAAAGGAGAGCTCTGCATCTACACAAAGGAAACGGGATGCTTCATGACTGGCTGTCTACCTCAGAATTTTTCCGACAGTTACATGTTAGAAACTGAAGGTAGTGGGTGAAGCAAAAATTAGGTCTCAGTGTCACAAAGGCTACAAGGGAAAAATTCACAAAATTAATTTCCATAACTCTCTTTCTCCTCCTATCCATATGCCTCTCCCCCACAGCCAGATACATTCCAAAATGGCTTCCAAACAAAGGAAATATTAAACATGAAAATACCAAGTTGTTTCATAGTGGTACCTTTGCAATTATTACCCTATTGAAAGATTACATATGGCCACATTATTTTAAACAATAGTTTTTTTTAAAAAACTTAACATAGAGTGCTCTTATCCTGATGAGTTGAGCTCTTCTTTTCAAATATTCATGATCATCACTTTTGAATAGAATCATAGTATCATAGAAAATGAGGGTTGGAAGGAACTTCAGGAGGTCATCTAGTCCAACCGCCTGCTCGAAATAGGTCCATCCCCAACTAGAATATCCTACCCAAGGCTTTGTCTAGCTGGGTTTTAAAAACCTCCAAGGATGGAGATTCCACAATTTCTCTGGGTAGCCTACCTTCCTAGTGAAAAAGCTTTTCCTAATATCTAACCTAAACTCCCCTTGCTGCAAGTTGAGACCAAATAGCAGAACTGTCATGTGACAAATTCAGGTCAATGATAAAATGAATGAAAGTCAAGAACTGTGGCTTCCTGTTGATGCCAAAAATAAAGCAGGGGTATTCTTTTTCAAAAATTAGACACATACACACCCATATAATGGTAAATGCATGACCACCACCTCAAATAAGAACCTAGACATGTGGACATTCTAGCTGCAAAGGAAGCACCAAGCAGCCCCTGTTTCATAGTTTCATAGATGTTAGGGTTGGAAGAGACCTATTAGTTCATCGAGTCTGACCCCCTGCTGTGGGCAGGAATGAGTGCTGGGGCCAGACCCCAGCCAGATCTCTGTCCAGTCTCCTTTTAAATACCTCCAAGGAAAGGGACAGCACCACCTCCCGTGGAAGCTTATTCCATATTTTGGCAACCCTCACTGTAAAGAATTTTTTCCCAATGTCCAATCTGAATTTGTTCTCTTCCAGTTTGTGGCCATTATTTCTAGTTACCCAAGAGGTGTCCTGGTAGACTTTGTATCCCCTATTTCTTGCTGGCCCCCTCTG